AAAGAGGTACAGGGGTGGAAGGGGTTTGGGGAATGGAACGCTCACTTCCTCTGCCCCTGTCTGCCCCTGAGAGGCTTCGGAGTGGCTTCTTCAAAGCCTTTCAGGGGAGGAAGAGTTTGGGGAAAAGGAGTCACCAGTTACTGGTGAGACTACGTGTGAAAGGGATTTAGGAATCCAGGTGGACCACAGGTTGAACATGAGTCAACAGTGCGATGCAGCAGCTAAAAAGGCCAATGCAATTTTAGGCTGCATCAGTAGAAGCATAGCGTCTAGATCAAGAGAAGTAATAGTGCCACTTTATTATGCTTTGGTCAGGCCTCACCTGGAATACTGTGTCCAGTTCTGGGCACCACAATTCAAAAAAGATGTGGAGAAACTGGAGCGTGTCCAAAGGAGGGCAACTAAAATGGTGAAGGGTCTGGAAACCATGCCCTATGAGGAACGACTTAGGGAGCTGGGGATGTTTAGCCTGGAAAAGAGAAGGCTGAGAGGTGATATGATAGCCATGTTTAAATATTTGAAGGGATGTCATATCGAGGAGGGAACAAGCTTGTTTTCTGCTGCTCCAGAGACTAGGACCCGAAACAATGGATGCAAGCTGCAAGAAAAGAGATTCCACCTCAACATTAGGAGGAACTTCCTGACAGTAAGGGCGGTTCGACAGTGGAACACACTCCCTCAGAGAGTAGTGGAGTCTCCTTCCTTGGAGGTCTTTAAGCAGAGGCTGGATGGCCATCTGTCAGGGATGCTTTCATTGGGAGTTCCTGCATAGCAGGGGGTTGGACTGGATGGCCCTTGTGGTCTCTTCCAACTCTATGATTCTATGATTCTACTGTTCCTATTGCCTTTCCTCCCCAATCATTGAAAGGAGGGAAAGGCAAGAGGAGCCTCCATCCCTCCGACATCTCAGGGCTGCCCTGGGAATGATCGGGGAGGGAAGGGGTCTCTGGGGGCTGAAGGCTTCTCTTGCTTTTCTTCACTGATCACTCCCAGGGCAGCCCAAGAGTCTCCAGAAGGGAAAGCAAGAGGAGCCTCCAGCCCTTCGAGACCTCTGGGTTGCCCTGGGAGAGATTGGCGAGGGAAGGGGTCAGGGGGAAGGCCTTGACCTCACAAATAATTGAAACCACGAATCTCAAGGCCGCAAATCTGGAGGGATGCCTGTAATGTTACTGAAATTACATGAAAATTAATGTCCAACAAATACCCACTGCATTTCATGTCATGATTTCAAGCTTCTATTTCTGGCACACCACCTTTAATCTCCACCTGTAGGGAAAGAAACATGGAACTATTTCTGATCAGGATCAGAATCAAGATCAAGTTTTATATGTTGCCCTTCCAACTATAGACATTCTTTGAATAATTAGTAACATCATAAGGTAAGCAAAAAGAGAACCTTGGTAATTTGTTGGTTTGGTAATCTGCTACTAAATGATTTATTTATTCATACAAAGAAAAGAGACTCCCCTTTTGCAACTGCATTTATTAATGAAGGTACTGAAGATGGCAATGGAAATGAAGGATACATTCTTGTTCCAAATGTTGAAAAAAAATCAGACTGTCAGTGTCTTGCTACAATCAAGCATTCAAATTGCTAAGTGTGGTTAGCAAGGAGAAAGGAAATTACTGTAATCAGGAAGCAAAGAGATGATGGTTGGAGTATTGGTCTTAAATAGGCACATGTCTGAACTCAAGTTAAATCAGGGTGATTTTTCAAGAGCTAATGGAAAATGGTTCCCATGCACCCCACATGAAAAGTTTTATTTAAAAGCAAAGAGAACTGCAGAAGATTGAATTTGTGCATTTTATAGCAGTCATGGGATAAACTGAAAAACTAGACTGGAGGAAAATGATTTATAATGGATACAGAAGTCACCAGTTACTGTAAATTAGTAAAACATATGGCATTAAAGAGATAAATGAATACCACAGATATTTCAAGTACAGCTTAGCTTTTCAGAAAACGGGCATTGAATAAGAATTATACAAGCAAATGCACTTTATACTGTAAATGGTTATAAATTAAATACTTATAGTCCGCTTACTATTGCTCATCATTTAAACTACAGGGTTTCTACCAAATTGGAACAGCTGCCACATGATAAACAATATGTTTTGTACACTGAAGAATGCAGTCCCTGGCAATATTTTTATTGCCCTTTCAGCATCAGTAGAATCTGTGAACAAATAGCTATAGCAATATGATCTTATCTGTAATAACCTGGCATTAGCTAGGCTAACCATAAAGAAATCTAAGGAAGTAGAGGACAGGCAATACTGGCTTCCCCTAGTGCACAGAATCTATAGATAGCAAGAAAGTTGGAGGTACAGAGAAACATGGATATTTTAAAAGCAGGTGGAAAAATACCAAAACAGGATGCTTGTTAGGTATGTGACATCTTGTATTTAAGTCCATAGGGATGAAGTTCTAAAACTATTCACTCCTTATCAGCAGTCTAACATTTGCTTCAACTCACGAATAAGCTGCATGCTACATGTAAATCCTCCCCAGCCTGTAAACTATAGCTGTTGTTCCATGCAAAACCTTCCTGAACTGTAAATCAAATTTCAATGCTGACAATTTAAATAGTCTATTAATGATTTCAAACCATTGATAAGGAAGAAAGATGTATTAAAGAACCCCTATGGACTAAAGAGTCTTTTTCCTGGGCACATCAACATGCATCAATTCAGCAAGTAAACAGCTGTTCCAATTTGGTAGAAATACCAGTCTGAATTTAGGATTGTAATCCTGTATGAAACTGTAATCCTGTATGCACACACTTAGAAATAAGGTCCACTGACCTCAGTGGGTCTCACTTCTGAACAGACACCCATACAACTGCAAGTATAAGATACAGGATCAAAGTGTAATATAAAAATGGCTTGACTCACTTTGGAAGAAAGGAAAATGTTAGAAAAAGATAGGTAACTTCTTTTAGAGAATGGATATATGTGGCCCATGAAATCCCCTGAAAAATTTAGAGCTCCTTTTAAGGTATTAGGAAGAAAGTGAAAATACTGGGTTTTAGGCAGGTGAAGCCTGTCATTCACAACAATGGCTCAAGCTTGTATAGTATTTCTTTTTACACACAGAGTAAAATTTCTTCCTAGCCGCTTTGGGAAAAATGTTTTAGGCATGCAATGTTTTCTTCTGCTTTTAATTATATTTGATCTTTGGCCTCAAAACAGAAATTATTTATCCTCTCAATCAAAACTAGGGAAACTGTAATCCTCCATATGTTTAGGCTCCAATTCTCATTAACCTCTGTCAACAAGATCCAAGGTACAGGATGGAAGTACATAGTCATTCACAACATCTGAAAGGGCCACAAGTTCTCCAGCCCTGGCTCTTAAAAGATGTTGCATATCATTTACAATAGAGCAGGTGCCTGCTGTAAACACATGTCTAAGACCAAAAAGAAAGAATTTAAGAGGAGGGTTTAAGAGTACTTTTAGGCTAATACATGGAAGCTATAAATTAAATACCCAACTTACCGTAACTCTTCTGCCATGAAAATAATAATTATTATTTTTGCATGATCTCACATACTGTGCTCACTTACAACTTAGTTTCCAGGTATTTAAGACATTTCCTGGTCTTTCACAAAGCTTGGAAGTAACGTGTGACATGTCATTCTGGGGAGTGTCAGCATTACTAACATTGAAATGTTTTAAAAGTAACAATGTGACTAATGAAGTTTTTACTTTTTTGGTCTAATAAGAAATGCTTGACTCTGTGTGTGTGTTGTGTGCCTTAAAGTCATTTCTGACTTGTGGCGATCCTATCAAGGATCTTGGCAAAATTTGTTCACAGTAGGTTTGTCATTGCCTTCCCCTGAGGCGGAGATCATGTGACTTGCCCAAGGTCCCCAGTGGGTTTCGTGGCCGAGGTGGGAATTGAACCCTGGTCTCCAGAGTCACAGTCCAACACTCAAACCACTACACCACGTTGGCTTCCAAAGATGGCTTACAGATGGCTATATTCATGTTTATTAATCCCATTATGGTGAGAACTAGGCTTTCTGGAGTCAATGGAAGAAGCACCTAACCAAAGATGCTCCAGAGTTGTAATCCAACACTTAAACCATTACATCATGTTTAACTCTCAGGTTGCATCCACACTGCATAAAAAATCCAGTTCAACACCACTTTAACTGTCATGGCTCAAGGCTATGCAATTCTGGGGACTATAGTTTTGTGAGACATAATAATAAAATTTATTTATACCCCGCCCCTCTGTTGAACAAGAGTTAAGAAAGCTCTAGTGCCACAACAAACTACAAATCCCAGAAGTCCACAGTATTGAACCAGGGCAGTTAAAGTGGTATAAAACTGGATTATTTAAAACACTGCTTTGGAAAGGACATGTAAAAAATAAATAAAAATAAAGACTAACTTGAAACTCTTTGGCAAACAAGCAACACCATCGTTGAGATCCTACACTGGGGTTGGATAGTGTAACTCTCCATATGTGGAGTTACGCATTCATTGTGCTATACAGTCCTTAGACTTAAGGGCAATGTTGCACAACTGAGCCAAAACATCAAATGTGCAACTGAATGTATAGCTAAATATGCATGTGCAACAGTGAACAATACATGCTCATTTGCAATCTGCATGGACAGTGGAACCACATACACAACTCTGCTTCTGCAACTTTGACCTGAATGTGGACATCCCATGTGTCCAACCGCTTCCAGTCCACAATCAGAAATCAGCAGTACTAATATGCCAATAAGCTAACTAGAGACTGGCTGCATAAAATACAAAGATAAATAAACTTGGGTAGTTATATTGATGTCTGAATTTAAAAAGAGATTTATTAAATCTTGCACTTTAGATTTAATCTTGCACTTTAACAGAGTTAAGAAAGCACACAACTGCCTTTCTGCAAAAGCCCCACTGGCCACCAGTCTGTTTCCAGGTGCCATTGAAAATATTGATTTGGACCCAAAAAGCCTTTATGGCTCAGGCCCAGGCTGAAGCATGGTGTTATCTCCTATGAGCCTGCCCAAGCTTTCAGATCTACAGGGGAGGCATTTCTCTCATCCCACCACCTTTGCCGCACAGTTGGTGGAATGTGGGGAAAGGCCTTCTCTCACATTTCTGAACTCCCTCCCTGAGGAAACTAAGATGGCTCCTTCTTTGTTGACATTTCAGCAGCAAGCTACAATCTTTCTTTTCCAGTAAGCCTTTGGAAATTGATTGTGAACATTGACTGTGAGCTTTTTATGGTGCTGTACTATTTTAAATCTTCGTTTTAAAGTAAGATTTTAAAATGGTCTTAATTCTATTGTTGTTTAATACTGTTTTAATTTTTATTATGTTTTTAAATATATGTGTTTTTATTGCATTTTATACCTTTTTGTAAGCCACCTTGATTCCCAGTCTGGTAGAAAGGTGGGTTGTACAAGTGATGCATGGATGCGTGGAAACAGGAAAATGACCTGAATTCTTGTTATGTATTTGCCCACAATGCCCACAGAATGCAGTTAAATGTATTCCTATCATTTTTAATCTGTGGCTTAGTTTTAAAATATCTTATACTTCTGTTTGCATCAAGTACTTGCGCATCATATGTTTTTTAACATATGTTGTTGTTTAGTATGTTGTTACTGTCTCTTGTTATATAGTAACAACATACTACTAAGCATAGTACTACTAAACAATAGCAAGAGATTCAAACACATTCTGCATATGTTGGATTGGGCACAATACATTTATTAATAATACTTAATTTTTGCCTTTTAAAATAAAAAAATGGTATATTCCTTATACAAAAGTTAGTGTTGTCAGCATTTCTATTAATATAATGTACAAAAGAGAATTGAAAAACTTATTTGTTAGAGAAACAGCTAGTACTGACAACAACCACCATATGAAAATTGTTATGAGAGTAAAGTCCACTCAAGTGTATATGCAGGTATAACTCAAAAAGATGCTTAATTATGACCTGTCCAAGGAAACTTTTCAAAATATTAAATGTGAACATGCAGAAACTAGTACTACATTACACAATGATTGAGCAAGTCTTCAAAAACATTTCGGCTCACACAACAACAACAACAACAACAACAATAATAATAATAATAATAAAATTAATTTGTACCCCGCCCCTCTGTGCACAATCGGGGCAGCTAATAACAATTAAAAATACATACAATATAAATCCAAAAGACCCAATACCCACCCACCCCCTTAAAAAAAGTATTAAACCAAACACTAGTTAAAACATCTTAGATTAAAATAACGTAGAATACAATCGAACCAGTAACAACAAAATAGATAGAACAAGCAGAGTAGCGACAGCATCCAAATTAGGAGAGGGCAGAATAAGGGGGTTCTTGAGGCTGGGAAGTCTAATCTGGAAAGCCTATATGCACAGTAGACATTGTTAGCAGTATGAATATATGCACAGACAGCACTGTGAAATGAAATATACTTATGATCAAGCAAAGTACACAACATGCATACTGATAAGGCATTTGGGCCAACTGAAGAGTGATGGAGAAAGTTTAAAACTTAATTTGCAGATAGCATTCTTCTCCTCAAGGGTGTCATACACACAATAACCTATTATATCCTATAAAAGGAGAGCTGTCTCAGAAACTGAGAGAAAGATGAAAAATTATCTTGCTTCCTTTACTTGAATACTAATACTAAAGAAAGGGACATAATGTTAGGCTTCAAGCTTTAATAGCCAATTCTTTTTCCAAATGAAAGAATGATTGCAGAAATGAGTGTGTGCTTAGAATTAAGAGGGTCCCCCCACTCAGCCTGCACTGATTTCTTAGGGTTCTGGCATAGCCTTCTACAAAGGTACCAGGATTACAGATTTACACCTCTGCAAATACCTCTCAGGCATCTTTTCTGTCTTATGAATAAATAATATGGTACCCCTGGAAAGCATTGATCTAAGAGAAAAGAAATCAATATGTGTCTGGCACGCGATAGACTTTAATTCAGCTGAAGTCTGTCTAAAATTTATAGTGCAATTTTAATGACAAAACAAAAAAAATGGCATTTAAAAACAAAAGCTGCAAGGGCCTGCAGCCACTGCACTGAAACTCGTTATGGAAAAAATAATTATTTTCAAGGTGAATAGCAGCATTGATTGCCTAGTATGCTATTAATAACTGATGGATAGATTTCTAATACTTAGCACAAAGTAAGTGATAGTAAATTGTTGCAAATTCTCTTGACTTCTGAACTTGTCTCAGTGCACACCGTTGGAACAACCTGATTGTCATCATAAATGGCTCACTTTAAAACTAATGTTAAGCTGGACCTTCACTTCGGCAAGGAAGCTACCTAAGTAAGCAGAATGTGAAGGGTGACAGATTCCCATTTATTTTTTTATTTCTAAACAACTTAAATCACTTCAGCATTTCTAAAATGTGTCACCAATGTTACAAAATGCCTCTTTGAAGACAGAAACATAATGGTAGGCTAAGCCTTCAAGCATCTGATCAGCTGTCAGATAAAAGATGGAACAGACTTGCTCTTCGTGGCACCAGACAACAGGTCTAAAACCAATGGGTGCAAAATGGAAGGAAGCAGATTTAAGCTAAAATTTGGGAGTAACTTCCTGAGGGGTTTGATAGTGGAACAGACTACATCAAGACATGGTAAAGTCTCCTCTTTGGCATATTTATGCAGAGGCCGGAAACTAATTTGTTGGGGATCCTATAATTACTTCCTGCATTGCAGACCTTGGATGGAACTAACTTCCAAATTTCCTTCCAACTCTATGATTATGTTCCCTTTTAACCCTTCAGTTGTTTTGCTTTCTCAGATGTTAATGTCAAGTCCATGTTGCTGTCCACTTCAACTGCCAAAACACCAGAATAAGCAGGTAGGAAGTGAGGGACAGGGAGGGAGAAAACAAATGCTTCAACTAGATTTTGTTGTTATGTGCCTTCAAATCATTGCTGACATATGGCAGTCCTAAAAATCATGGTTTTGTTTTTTTTTGGCAAGATTTTTCCAGAGGAAGGTTGCCACTGCCTTCCCTGGAGGCTGAGAGCATGCAGCTTGCCCAAGGTCACCCAGTCAGCTTCGTGGCTGAGCAGGGCACTGAACTCTGGTCTCCATGTTGGCTTAGCTTTGCAAAAGTTCTCTCTTTCCTATTCTCCTTCCTGAGCTAGTATGCAACCTTTTCACAGACTGAAGGTTGGACGACAACTGTTCTATGGGGTTGTCTCATCCAACTTGAAGCAGCTGATGGACAGGGTCGGCAGGCAGTTTGCTTCAGCCTCCAACTAACTTTTTTTAAAGGGGATATTCCTTCAAGCCCACAGGCTTTCTTTAATCTATTCCCACTTCAGTTATTTTTAATCCCCATCATGTTTTGAAATAAATTTCTAATGAGTCCAGCTTAAGACCTTTTCCTTCACCTGCATTTGGAGTAGACTTTCAGTCATATTTGTTCACGATATGTATGTGTGCATGTGCGTGTGTGATGTCTTCGGGCTTCCCTCAACTCACCTGCAAAAATGGAAAAACTATTTGGGTTGTTTTAAGTGCATCCTTCTTTGAGTCTGACATTTTTACAATATTACTTGATAATTAGGAGATGAAAGCATAATCTTTCCTGAGAACACATGTAAGATTTCAAGTAAATAAACTGCTTTTTGATTCCAAACAGAGCACATCATAGTACTAGCTTATTCTAAAATTCACATGTGCTACTCTAGCTGCCTGACAAATTCCTTTAACATAATGCTTTCCAATTCTTAAAATGTGTTATGAAGGAAGCAGAAAACAGCAGCTGATATGGTTCAGTAGCTCAAGTGGACAGACTATAAAAGACTGCACAAGTTTTCTATTGCTGAAGCAGTTTGCTGATGGAGCAGCAACTGTTTAGATCTACTTAGTAACATCATTCAGTAGAAATTATAAAATATGAGTCTATTTTAAACAAAGTTCTTATAGGTCAGCAGACTTCTTTAATA